TTGGTGAGATCAAAGAAAATAAGCAAAAGTTGACAAATTTGGAGAAAATGACTAAATTGTAAGGGATCCAAAGTTCAGGGACTAAAATGTAAATACTTAAAAGTTTTGTCGAATCTCACGATGAAGATTTGAGAGTGCTCAGAGTTAATTGGATAAAGAAAGATGTCAATGGAATCAAATTTAGTCAAAAGATGATCACAAATCAATTCCCAACCGAAAAGTTATGCTCCGATGTTTTAGTCTCATATTGAGACCTATTTTTGGCATAGAAAGTGATTGAATTAGAGAATGATGTCTGAATCAAAGTTGTAGCCAGATGAGTTAGCTTTCCAACGCATTTTGAATCGCCTCAATCGGATATCGGAATACAAAGTTATGATAAAAATACTGAAAGAAGGTGCAGCTGCCTGTTTAAAACAAGAAATTCTGTTACATAGTCCGTTAAAACAACAAATTCCGTTAGTTTTTTCGTTAAAAACAAGAAATTTCGTTACATAGCCACTTTTAATATATAGAAGATATAATCAATGCATATTTATGGCAAGATCTGTTAATATTCTAATAAATTAAATAATAGAATCCGTAAATTCAAGTCTTAGTGATTTGTTAATCACAATGAGTTGTGATTGTGAGATATAAATTACTTATGACTGAATTTTAAATCGTCTGTGGTCGTATGTAATTTCTTACTTCTGATGTAAGCAGCTGATCTCACGAGCTAAAGTGTGGTGACATTTGAAAGAACACGTTGATGTTTTGTTATAGAACAAAATATTAGAGACACGCTAGGAGATTCTACATGGATAACTATCTGAGCGTCAGTGGTTAATCTCTAATGTTCGGTAGTGGAATCGGTCATTTGACTTGACGCCATCATAGTATCTTGTATGAGGACAATCATAATTTGGTGATGTGCTCTACTAAGGATCGCTAATACTGTATCGTTCAGGTATGTGAATAATCATATGAAAGCTGTGAATGATCAATGGAGGATTCGTCATTCTTAGATAGTAGGAAATTATGATCTACATTTCATTCAATTAAGTTGATAATGAAATCATTGATCAAGGTGTACTCATAAGTCGAAAACTCATTTTCGACTTATATTGACTTAATAGTGGGATGAAATATATAATCAATAATTAAGATTGACATATATTCATATCTCATAATTGATCAGATCATATTGACGAAGAGATTATAGTTTCACGGTAAACGAACAAATTTGGTTTTGTCATACCACGTGACATTTCTTGTCACATGTATTGTCCGACACATTGCTAAATGTCAATTCTGGGACGACGAATGTGAATTAGTGATAAATTAAAAATGGTATTTTAACTTATCGATTTTGATTAGATCAAAATAATAATTCACGTCATTATGTATCGTGATTGGGAATCTAATGGATCACACACAAAAGGAGAGCTAGAAGAATGAGATTTACCAATTAATTAATTGACAAATATTAGATAATTAATTAATCGAGTTGCTTATTAATAGACCCGAATTAATTAGTTGGATTAATTAATTCATGGAGCGAATTTAATTAATTAAATATTGGACCGGGTTAAATTTAAGAGGCAATCTAAGTCCACTTGGACTTATATTAATAAGTCATTAGGGTTTCAGAAAATGTGAATAGGACATAATTCATATTCTTGCTAGCATAAGAAAAAAGAACCATAATTCTCTCATTCTTGTTCCATGTATGGATTTCCATTGGAGGTTGGACAATTTGACAGTTATGAATTGTAGATCGCGATTGTTCGTGTTCCAAGAATCAGCAAAATAAGTTTGTAGAATTCATCAAATGTATTATTCTAAACATAGTTTCTATCTAAACACGAAATAGATCTGAGGTGGGAATTGAAAAATTATTTATTTTCCATTGTGCATGTTAATTAAATTCCCAACATTCTCTGTCTGGTGGATTTTGCTTTTGCATTGTAGTAGTCCAGTAATATTTCCACATGATCCTTTATTCCCTCGTAGTTGATGGAGACGTTTCGAAAGGCTTTACGTGTAGGAACTAGACCCTCCAACTCATCACAGGATAAATCGATCTCCACATGGCCATACATTTCCAGATACTCTCGGGAATTGGTTCAAAGAGGTGATTTTGAGAGAGATTTAACATTTGATGTAATATCCCAAAAATTTTAGAAAAAATAAAAGTTATTCCATATTTATGCTTTTTATTATGATGAACATTTCATGTAATATAGTAAAAAGTCATGTTAATAATACTATAATTGGATAATTACCATATGGAAATATAGAGGGTATAAGGTGGCTACCCTATACATAACATCTTGCCACACTAAATACTTAAATGACAAATGACATAATAGGGTTTAAGGTGGCAAAGTAATGATTAAGGAAAAATAAATAAATTATTAAGGGTGTATTTGAGCCACATTATTTTGGAAGAATTTATTTTAAAACAGTAGATTGACGGAGAATGTGTGGTTGAAAAAAAAAGGAAAAGTTATTGATGTGATGAAAAATATTATTTTATTGAAGAATGTGTGGTTGAAAATGAGTAGAAGAATGAGAATGAAAATTTTAATGTGTACCAAACAGGGGCTAAGTAAATTTCTGATTCCCACTATAAATAGGGGAGAAAGAGAGAAAAGAAATACACAACAAATTAAAAATTAAAGTAACTTACTAAGGAAAGCATTGCAACTTGAAGGTGAGTAATCTATGTCCATTTCTATTTCCAAGCATATATTATAATTATGTTTATTGAATAACTATCTTTTTAAGTTGATTATAGATTCAAGATTCTACCCATTGACTTTGCATTGGATATTTACATTGTATTGGATATCCCTTGATATGATCATTGATTATACACCAAATTGGTGTAATTGATTAAAGAGCTCATATATTGTTATTCTAAATTTGTGCGCATGGGTAGAATTGAGCATCTATAATTGAGCCCATTGTTTTCCTTACTCTATTTCAAAAATGGAAATAAAATAGTATGGCTTACTCGCTGAATAAGTGTATTCACATTATATGTTTATCAATTTTTTTTGTAGATGGTCAGTACTGAATATATTGACCTTACTTCGTACGAATGAGTTACATCGGAAGACGACCAGTATTGCATGTATGTTAAGGAACTCCACACATGGATAACATATCCAGAATTCCCAGGGTTCCATTGATTTGTGGGCTCCCACTATTACATGGACTACTTCGAAGCGGCTACTATGATGTACGTATTTACAGTTAGTTTTCCTAGGAATAAACATGTCTATGTAATCTTTATGTAATATAATGGTACAAATAGTTTAGTTATGTACGGTACGGTACGTAACGTAACTTTTGTAATGCAACTTTTGCCTAGTCGCTAACATGTTTTATTGTAACAAAGTATATAATAAAGCTTTTTTTTTAACTACCTATGTTACACATATATATACCTTTCAAAGGTCAATGTTTAAGAAAACAATAAAATAAATCAATATATTGATATTGAAATCCCTACACTAGAACTGCCAAAAAGTTCTCTCAAATCACAAAATTTCAAAATTTCTAAAATTTCTATACATAAATTCTAAGTAAGAGACAAGATTTGGATATTACAATTATGGAAGATTTGGGGAATTACATTTGAAGGCTAGATACTTTTCCTAATTCAAATGATATTTCTCCCGTGAGTGAATTATTACTCAAATCCAACTTGGACACATGAATTAACTTGCCAAAGTGAATGAGGATCCTTTGGCTTAGATAGTTGTTGCTCAAATTCAAGTGATACAATTGCTCAGAGTTTGCTAAATTTCTTGATATTTGACTTGTCAGTCTGTTTCTAGAAAAATATTGGTATATCAACTCTAACAGTGATCTCAATTCTTCGGGTATATCCCCAGAAAGTTGGTTGTCGACTTGTCGTTCTAAAATCGTAATGCTATTCTATTTAACTGATTTTTTGAACATTGTCGACTTTGTTATTTGATTATAATATAAATCTTTTGTATAATACATTTTGTTGTTTTATTGTTAAATTTTAAGTTAACAAGTTAGTAATTGATTCCATAACACACTTATAAATTTTTCATGCATATTAAAATTTTGAGGGACCTAATTTATGAAGTTCGTCTCAAGTCCCGAAAATCACATGACCGACACTGCCAACAAATATATTGTTTACGTGATAATATCATCAACATTCTGAACATACGTCTACTAGCTGCTAATGATGTGCAAATTTGGTCCTAACTCTTCTTATGAATAAGCAAACAAAAGAATCAAATTAGAATCTTTCACATGAAAGCCGCATAAGAATAATTCTCTCCCATTCAATGCAGCGATAACTTGCACATAACATCTGGCAGAAGTTTCAAAACGTTGTGATTCAATTTGTCTTTCCTATATTCTGTGTTTCAAAGGGTGTCCATAAGCAAGGAAGCAAGCATATTATGGACTTCAACATTATGAAGCACAACTTAATAATAGATACGGGTGTCTCCTTTTATCTCTTAAAGAAACAACAAATCATGCATTTTAATTCACGTATTTTATCAAAGGGCGCATTTCATTGATGAATACTGCTTGTGCAGCCACTGGAATACACCACAAAATTGAATCTCTGACTACGAATTACTAAGACCCTATTTTATCAGAAATTTGTTGTAATAAGAAATTTTAAGCTGCGCTCGAAAGTTTATATGAAATCGGATTCAATTAGTCTCTTCTGCCTAAGCAACTATTTCATGATTCAGTATCAGAGCCATACAGCAAAGAACATATAAGAAAGTACACCAATTAAAACTGCAAGTCATAGTCTCGTGTTGTGTTAAAATGAAGAGATATCCACGTTCTCTTGCAATAAATGAATGAATGCAAACTCATGCTTGAAACTAATCAAAATTCCTCTTAATCACATTGAAGCCAAGACAGATGAGCAAAAAAAGATAAAATACTGGTAAAGGGTCTCCAGTTTCGTGCATCGTCATGTCACTGCTGGCAAGTCATCCATTATATCATGATCTCTCCTTCAGTAGCTTCAAACCGAAGTACCTAAAATGAGAAACCGTAAATTTTCAAGAATCTACACAGCCCTGTTATGCTAAAACAAGGAACTGAAAGTACACAGGATTCTTACCTTCCAAGCATCAAAAGAGTAGCCTGGGGATTGGTCCCAGGTGACACCATAAAAGTAGAACCGTCGACTACTCTCAAAGCATCAATTCCGATAACTTTGAGGTTGCGATCAACAACCTTCCCCACGAGGCAACCACCATGATAGTGCCATATGGTGCTCACTGTACGCCGGCAGAACTCTTCCACGTGTGCATCATTGGACAAGTCGACAGGCAATGGAGGCCCAACATACCTAAATTCTCTACCTCCAGACCATTGATGGAACTTAAAATCATCCATAGCTCGGCTATTCAGTACATCACCAATTTTTCGCATTCCATTCACACACCTCTGCAGATCACCTGGATTGCTAAAGTAATTGAAAAAAATATTTGGATTCACTCTGACATCTGTGGATGCCAATCTAAGAGAACCAGCAGAAAGTGGCCCAACTATCTTCTCCATAAGAGTGGCCACAGTAAGATAAACTGAAGAGCTGGGTGACCTAATGAAAATAGGACGAGCAGGGGAAGCAAAAGGTATGATATTGGAGGCTGCTTCTAGGTAAGCACCTGAGGCGGTAATACCCACGACTTGAATGAGAGAATGCTCCAATGGCATCGGTGGCACAATAGAGATCCCATTTCTTGGATTATCATACAAAAACTGACCAACGTAAGTTGAGTGGTGCGCCACAGGTATTCCCCACGAGGAGAGATAAGGCCTCGGCCCAACGCCACTCAGTAGCAGGAGCTGAGGGCTGCCGACAGCCCCCGCGCAAAGTATCACCTCGCCCCTATCATGCAACATAGCATGGTGGTACCGCCCTGTATGATCGCGAAAAACTACCCCAATAGCTGATTGTTTTGCCCCAGAAGAAGCTGATGAAGATGCCAGCAAAACTCTCTCCACATTTGCATAAACTACTACCTTAATATTTGGAGGATTTGCATTGTTTAGAAGGTCTACTGCACTATGTCTTGTACCAGAGCTATCAAATGTTGAACCCCCAATCTTGGTACCTACAACATGATCCAAACTGTACCCATTATAGGGATCAATCCCAGCCTCCAATAATCCATCTCTAACTGACGATTGCCAATTCCTAAGCTCAGGCCTAAATACAATAGCTTTTTCAACCCACTCATAGGACTGATTCACCACTTTAAGATCCCAATCCATTCCTGATCTTTGATAGAAATCTTGATCGGCTCTGCTATAGAAACCAGCATTTATTGCACTGCTTCCTCCAAGAACTCGACCTCGGGCATTTGGGACTCCGTCTTCAGAGGTGAAGGCTTGAGCAGGGGAGTCATAGGCATCGACTTCCATTAATGTTGTGAGAAAGCCATCTTGAGTCATCAGATTAGGCTTCCCATATGGAACGCCACCTCTTTCAAGAACAAGCACGCGATGTTTTTCCGACAGCGTCGCCGCCAGTGGACAGCCGGCGGTGCCACCTCCGACAATGATGTAATCGTAGTAATCTTCAGCGGGAAAATCTGTCGCATTTGATACAAACCCCAAATAAACTGGACCTGCACAATACAAACAGACAAAAACGATCATTTAGCTTATTAACGTTCAAACCAAAAACTGGCACTAGAAAAAATTATAGAGATTAAAAGTGGGTTTGGGGATGATTACTTTGTTGAGATTCTTGAGAATGTGATTGGGGTAGAAAAATGAGCGCGGTAATAAACAAGAAAGCAAGAAACGGACTGAGAAAGAAGGGTTTTTCTGCCATTATTGGGTTTCACTCAAGAAAATTTGATGGTTTTATGTTTGCAGAGAGAGAGAGAGAGAGGGAGAGAGAGTAAAGAAAAGAGCAGTATACTTTTGGTGGGAAATTCAGTTGGATACTTGCCGGTGAACAGAGTCTCAAATGCCAATCTTGAGAAAGTGATATATGGAATTTTTTTTTTTGTTGAATATTACTCTTAGACAATTAAAATTCTTTTTAAACCAAATTTTTTTTTTTTGTTGAATATTACTCTTATTATTTAAACTTTTATTAAACGAATTGCTTTTGATGAAATTGCGCGCTTTACTATAGAAAAATGCCATCCAGCTAAGCTTCCTATGTGCATTTCAACAGCAAGTTTTGCATTCAGCATTCATGGAGTTGTCTTCTCTCACAATTCTGAATCTTTTACTTAATTATGAACAGTCGAAAATAGGAACGAACGGATAAGAATGCAATTGGTTGGGGGTGTAACGCTTCATACTGATGCGATTGGGTTTAACAAGAACAAATTGGCTTGCAAGATTGATCAACTCATTCATAACATTACTAATGTATGATATTGTCATGCTACTTTGTGAAGTTTAGAGTGGTTCTTGCATTTTTATATCTAGAGATAAGATTAAAACTGTCCACTTGCTTGCGTTGTTTGCTATTATTATCCGAGTGAACCAATCGTTGGTTGACTTTATTTCGTGAGCCACTAATCTTAGCTTCTTTTTGACAAGGGCTTTTGATATTCTAAACTTAGTTTTTAATCACAAATTTCATTAGATTCGCGACTTTTATCTATTTTTTTAACCTTATATTGGATGGGAACCATCAAAGTGTAATTTCAAAAAGTGTTGTCAAACAGGGGCTACTGTTTCAAACAAGAGGAGATACCACCCTACTTCTAGGCTTTTTGCAAAGTTTGGGTACCACCATCGAATGGTTTCTGATCTGATTTAGTGAATGAAACTTTGATATTTGAATCGATTTGCTCTCTCGATTGCCATGGTAGTGTTGAAGTCCCCATTTTGTACACAATCATGAGCATAATTCCAAATAAATAGGGTTGTCTTAATGTAGTTCTCAAATGGACTATGTTACTTGTACATAATTTCTTGTACATAAGGGTGTCAACAATCTCACATGGGGTGGACCCCGCATGATTAAAAAAAGAATTTTATTCTGCTACTTGTACATAATTTCTTGTACATAAGGGTGTCCACCCTCTCACATGGGGTGGCCCCCGCATGCTTAAAAAAAGAATTTTATTCATGTGGGGTCCACCCCCATGTGAGGGGTGGACACTCTTATGTACAAGAAATTATGTATAAGTAGCTTTATCCTTCTCAAATAGGTTTGTCTAAGTTTTATACTTCAAGGGAACCTGTGGTTGAAATATTTCTTTATAAACAAGGTAGAATTGTTGCAGTGACTAGCTCTTATATTTGAAGCTTTTGCTAAGTGAAAGATTTAGGATATGTTTGAACCCCTTTTTTTTTTGTACAAAATGCATTTTGAAATAGTATATTGATGGAAAATGTGTGGTCAAAAAAATAAGAAATTTTTTTGAATTTGCGTATAATATGATTTTATTGAATAATGTGTGATAGAAAAGAAGAGAAAGAAAAATGTGTTTTGAAAAAAAAGGAAATCGAATAACGACTTAATCAAGAGTTCAGAAGTCGAAGCCATGTCTTGCCAGCTCTATAACACCATAGTCTATGGGCGGATATGGGGGAGGCAGCACTGGGCTATAGCCCAATGCCCAAGTGTTGTACAACCCCATATCCAAAATCACTATTTAAAAAGAGAGAAAAATAAAAAAGAACATTATATAATTATAAAGGTTTAAAGATACATTTTCAAAAATAAGAAACTAGTGAAAAAATTTTAAAAATTAATGTGACCACATAATAACAGATTAAGGTCACAATAACATACAATTATGATCACAATCACAAATCACATAAGATCACAGTCATAAATATACAAATTATGAGTCACAATTACAAATTTAATTGCAATCACATTTTTTTTATGTCTCATATTATTTATTAATTACAAATTATCTATTTTGTCGATTACATATTAATTATTAGTCACAATTAACCAATTTATTATTCACAACCACCAAATAATTAATCACAAATGCTCTTTATCCCGCACCATCCCACTCCGTCACTACTGGCACCAACTGAATGCCGCACCACCTCACCACCATCTGCACCACCACAGCAATACCACCATCGCCAACACCAACTCCACCCGAATTTGCAAATCACCAACAACCACCAACAAAAACTACACTAAAATTCCAGTTAAGCAAATCGGAGGACAAAAAACCAATCCAAAACCCTAAAACCATTACGCTGCTTCGTGTAGTGCGATCACGACACTATGCTGCGTGTGGTTGCAATGGTTGGTTTTTGGTGAGGTGGCTAGAGTTGGTGGTGATGGCGGCCGAACAGAGAAAAAATAGAGAGAGAATGGAACTAGAGATGGGGTAGGTGAGATGGGATGGGATGGGATGGAGTGCGCCTTGTTAACTCTTTTATTTATGCTGGTTTTATAGTTTAATTCTTATGATTGGTTTATTATTTGTTGTTATTATGTTGTTTGCCAATTTTAGGATAGTCATGAGATTCATGTTGAGATCGATAGATGATACATTTTTCTAGCTCAAATAACAAGTAATATTAAGTTCTATTCTTAGTGCAATTTCGATTAATATTTCTAGTTTTATTTTGTGCTTTTATCTATTTATAGAGACGTGTGAATATGTAGAAAATATCGAAGAGTGCAAGACAACTCTCTCTAAGTAACTCGACAAAATAGCCTCCTCACAAAGAGGATCATAAAGATCATATTCGGGCGACTATTTACTAAAAATACAGGTCCCATGTAAAGTTGTAAGATTATGTATGAAGGCCGATGCATGCTGAGTGCCGAAAGCTCGAGAAAGTTGTTGACATGTGACACGGGAGCCGACGATCGTATAGTAGGGTTAAAAGAAAAAAATGGATTAATTTATCTCAAAAGAGAAAATTAGCACATAAGGAATACTAGTCATCGACATAAACAATAATTGACTAATAACGAGTAATTGATAATTAAAATATGTTAGGATTATTCTATGTGTAAGGCGTACACAATCTTTTACATCCCCCTCACATGGAGGTGGGCCCACAAATATTTTATATTTGTGAGCCTCCCTCCATGTGATGGAGTGTAAAAAATTATGTAAACTATTGTGTACACATAGCACTTCTCAATATGTTAATAAAGGTAGATTAGGATCCTATAGTCTTCACAATTTGGTTGAACTTCGAGACTTCCTTGCTTTTTAATTGGTCATTTTAGTAGATAACCAAATAATAATAATAATAATAAAATAAAATAAAAATTCTCGAAGTCAAAACTCCACTTGTTAAATCTATGTTTCAGCTTAAGACTAATTTTGATTAAATTTATTAAGTAGATAATTAGTTCTAGTGAAATTGATAATCTATTTATCTTTTTATTCCTTATTCATGATATTGTGCATTTTTGAACTCCTAAACTTGCTTATATGAGTTCTTAGATACTTTACATGCGTCCATTTGGCCTCCATTATTATCTCATTATAATGAGAATTTGATTTTGGAATAATAATTTTTTAGAAAATGTGTGGTTAAAAATGAAGAAATTTTTTTAGATTCACATGTAATATTATTTTATTAAAAAATGTGTAGTTATGTGTAGTTAATAAGAAGAGATAGAAAAATGAATTATAATTAACTAAATTATTAAATAAAGGGGAATGTCACTTGTTCACTCTCTCTTGACACGATGGTTGACATTGTGTGTGTTGGTAAGTGTTGATCAGATAAAAAAAATGTAAAAAATTTAAATTGTCCAATGGTGTATTGTTACGTGATATAATGTAAAAAATTATGTAGTATTGTACATGTAGTGTGCTTATTAAATAAATTGGTGTGAGATTTAGGGGGTGTTTGTTTGAGATTTTTGGGGGAAGAATTGATTTTTGAATAGTGATATGATGGGAAATGTGTGGTTGAAAAATAAAAAAAAAATTATTGATGTGATGAAAAATATTATTTTATTGAGAAATGTGTGGTTGAAAATGAGAATTGATTTACTGTAAAATTTGAGAATCCCAAACAAACAAGCTCTTATTTTGATTGGGGATATACAGGACTACGAGGATTTATGACACGTAGAGCTATAAAACAGCCGCAAGCCTTAAATTGGAGGGAAGTCGATCACCTTAGGATTTTATTATTTTTCCTTTTAAAAAAAAAGTTGGATTTAGAATCTTAGATCATATAATTGTTTTTAGGTAATTAGTACACAGCGTTTCTACATTTTACTATTATTATGAAAAATGTTCTTACCCTTTATTTTATTTTTTGACATTTCCTCTTTTCATTTTGTAAAATGTCATTTTCATCAATTTTTCAATTAAAACTATAGAAATTCGAATATATCCATTCTCTTTAAATAAAATAAAAAGAAAAAGAAAGAACTAATTGTAATTATAGTTCCAATTTTTTTTAAAATGTGCAAACAAGTCCCAAATAAATTATTAAAAGGGTAATTAACATATAATGTTTCTACCTTTTACTATTATAATAAAAATGATCATACATTTCATTTTTTTACATTTTCACCATTAATTATACATTTAATTGCACAAACCATCATTTCTATCCATTTTCACCCAATGTTTTAATGAAAAAACTGTGAAACGACGAATATACCCTTATATTTAAATAAAAAATATTTTTTAATTTCTAATTTTTCAATAATTTATTTGGGATTCGTTTATACTTTTTATTTTTTTTAAAATTTTAAATAATTTATTTGGAATTCGTTTTCACTTTTTCTTAAAAAAATTGGACTATGGTTGCAATTAGTTTTTTTATTTAAATAGGAAAATGTATTCATCATTTCATACATTTATATTGAGAAATTTGATAAAAATGGATAGAAATGATGGTTTGGCAATCGAA